TTTCCAGCTTGGATTCATTCTCTCCGCCGCATTCAGGTACACCTATCAAACGTAGATTACATATTTTCACATAATCCCATATTTCTTGAAGGCTTTGTTCATTTCTTTTCACTCTTATTTCATTGAGTTGACCTTCAGTCTGATATCCTTTCTACTGTTTGGTCGATTCAGCTATTGAAACTTGTGTATGCTTCTTGAAGTTCTCATGCTGTGTTTTTCAGCTCCATCAAGTTGTTTATATTCTTCTCTAAACTGTTTATTCTAGTTAGCATCTCATCTAATCTTTTTTTTAGGTTCTTAGTTTCTTTGCATTGGGTTAGCACGTGTTCTTTTAGCTGGATTTTCTTTATACCTGTCGATGTTCATCTGTGGCTGAACATTCAAGAATTGGGTATTTTTGTCATGTTTGAAGTCTGGGATTTTTTTTGTACCCATCCTTCTTGGTAGGCTTTCCAGATATTAAAAAGCACTTAACTTGTTTTCGATTTGCCCTTAGAATACTACACTGGCATGAATTGCACTTTTTTTTTTAATAAATGGGAAATGAGTTGTGTTGTAATCTAAGCTGTATCTGCCTTAGGGGCACTCCAAGACCAATAATGCAGTGGCTCTTGAAGACTTGTAGATGTACTGCCTTGATAATCTTGGACAAGCTCCAACAGAATTCTCCAGATTACCAGGCAGAAACCCTTGTTCTCTTCTCTTAGTTTCTCCCAGATAAACAAAGCCTCTCTCTCTCTGTTCTGAGCCAACCAAAGCTCGGGATGAAGTAACACAAGCAGCCATGTATCCACCACCACTGTGACTGCACTGGGTTAGGCTTAAAGTCAGCAGAGCACTGGGTCTTGTCCAAAGCCTGCTGTAACCACTCCCTAGCTACTGCCATGTTTTCAAGGATCTGGGGTTCTACAATCAGCTGGTGATGAATCCAGCCAGGCCTGTGTCCTTCCCTTCAGTGCAGCAAGTTCCTTCAGTCCCCAGGCATGTCCAGAGGTACTACTGAGAAGCCCAAGACTAATCAAAAACCTTAGAAGTCTATTTGGTGTTCTGCTCCACCACAGCCTAGCTGGCACTCAGACCACAAAATGCAGTCCTTCTCACTCTTCCCTTTCCTTTCTAAAGGCAGTGGAGTCTCTTTTGAAAGTGGAAGCTGGGCAGTTTGGGATTAGGAGATGGGGGATTATAGTATTCCCTTACCCATCCCCAGCTAGTGTCTCAGTAGGTTGCACACCCCCATCCCCAGTCTACTGTCTCTGCACCCAATTCAGCACTGGGATTCACATAAAAGTTACAGTCCTTGTAGCCTAGACTACCTTTCAAGTTTATTTACAGTCCCAGAGTCCTATAGCCCACAGTGATGAGGCTTGTAGAAACTCAGTTCCAACTACTGGTATCAAAGATTCACCTTTGGCCAGGGCTGGTCTAAATGCATCAGTGGGCATCAGCTGAATTTGGGCTGGTTTTCCTTTCTGCCATAACAGAACAGCACTGATTTTATGCTCTAAAATTGCTATGTTTTCCCTCCCTCAGTATTAAGAAATGTTCTCTGAACCATGCCACTGCTTCCAGGGGAAAAAAGGGTGTCAGTAATTCAGTACTATTTTTTCTACCTCTTCAGTTCCTCTTTCAATGATTTACATTTAAATCTAGGTACACATCTGATTTTGGTTTTATGAAGATACATTTTGTGTAAACAGCTGTTAAATTGATGTCCTTGCAGGAGGCATAATCAGTGAAGCATTCTATTCTGCCATCCTGCTCCACTCTCCATTTGTATACCTTCTTTTGAGAAATTTCTGTTCATGTTATTTGCCCACTTTTTAATGAGATTACTTGGGTTTCTTTTCCTGCTGTTTTGAGCTCCTTGTAGATTCTAGAAAATAGTCCTTTGTTGAAGGTATATTTTGAAAATATTTTCTCTCATTCTGTAGGTTGTATGTTTACTCTGCTTGTCATTGCTTTTACTGTGCAGAAGCGCTTTAGTTTACTTAGGTCCCATTGTCAACTTTTTTTGTTGAAATTGCTTTTAAACACTGAGTTATATATCCTTAGCCTATACCAAAGCTCAGAAGAGTTTTTTCTAGCGTTTTGTCTAGAATTTTTATGATTTCAAGTCTCATAAAAGTCTTTAGTCTATCTTGAATGAATTGTTGTATATGGTGAGGTAGAAAATCATATTTCATTCTTCTACATGTTCCCCTGGGAAATATAAGCCAAGCACGGATCCTACAGCTACCTCTGTAGGTGGCTCTCTCCTGCAAGAAACATCTCCTAGCTGGAAACCAATGGGCACAGCCTATTACAACATCTTCTGGCAAAATAACACAGCATTTGTGAAGGAGAAAACTTTTGTCTTATCTCTGCTAACACCATACCCACATTATCCCAGCTAATCAGAAGGTCTTGAGTGTGTTCACAAGTCCAGTACATTGCTAGTACAGCAGGCATTTGAGAAAACCACCATACTAAGGCTATTTATAACCAAGGAAATCTTACAGAGTCTATGTAACTCCCTTGCCACCCCCATCAGTGATGGTGCTTGCACCTGCTGTTGGGAGACCAGAGGATAAGCAGGCCCAGTTAAGCCCCATTCAACATTGTCCTCCTTTGTACCAAAGAGTAGAGTCTAATCCACCGTACATCTCTCAGGCCTTTCCACAGCCTGAGGCATCAGAGATTTCCAGTTGACTGACAAAGAAGTCAATGGCCAATTAACCTCAAATGAAGAGCCAATATTACAGGTGAATAATCATAGGCCAAATAGAGTGTGAAAGAGAGAGTAATGGAGCTTATTGGTCAACTCATAGGAAGAATCTACAACTCAAAAACACACACACACACACACACACACACAAATAAAGTAAGAAGCTGGCAATGGTCAAACACTGAGAGACTTAGTAATCTATGGAAAAGGGAGGTGGGAGTGTTCTCTGCTTTCCTACCCAATCTTGAAGACTGCTAGGGTCTGAAGTCAAGGTGGGCTTCTTTGCCTTCAAGAGCACAAGTGCTGTAGTGAGCTGTGGTTTTGAGGCTTCTTGAGGACATTACCTTGTTCACATAAGGTCCCTTTCCTTTTCTCTTGGATCTGAGCTCTTTTTAACTGTTTTTGTAGAATTCGCTAGTGAAGATATCCTGAGCTGGAACTTTTTCAGCATGGGAGTTCTTGATTGCTAATTCAAATACTTATCAAATGTGTACTCACACTTTCCATTTATGAGATCTTTATTTGATTAGTCCCTTAGCCTTGGCATTTGCATTACCCCTACTCTTCTGCATTCAGTATAGGTAGTTAATACCTCAAGTCTTTGTATTAATAATTGACATTTCTCTTCACTTTGTATATTCCTATTTATTCCTGAACTTTTTCCCTAGAATAAGTTGCCTGTTGCCTCCCATCTGGATTGCAATTTTGTTAGACCTATCTTGTCTTTGTGAGTTCATTCTCTTTCATTACATTTTATTCTTGGTTTTGTTGACATATTTGTTTTAAACAATTTCAGCTTCATAATGAATATGTAGGCAATACTGAGTCTTTGTAAATTTTTGATGAAAGAAGAGAATTGCAAACTCTTGATTCAAGAGAGTAACACTTTTCATAGTATGGCCCTAATTTACCTATATTTATAAACTAAAATTGTTTTCACTTAAAAATAAGAAAAATTCATAAAAATGAATGTGTTCGGCTATTCTTGCATTGCTATAAAGAAATATCTGAGGCCAGATAATTTATAAGAAAATGAGGTCTGCTTGGCTCACAGTTCTGCAGGCTGTACAAGCATGATGCTGGCATCTGCTCAGCTTCTGGAGAGTCCTCAGGGAGCATTTGCTCATTGCAGAAGGCAAAGCAGCAACAGGCACATCACATGGCAAGAGGAGAAGCAAGTTGGAGAAACAGTTTTAAACAATCAGATCTTGTGTGAACTCACTCATTTTCAGGATAGCATCAAAGGAAAAAACATTCATGAGAAATTTACCCCCATGATCCAATCACCTCTCACCAGGTCCCAAATACAACACTGGGGATTGAATTTCAACTAAAGATTTGAGGAGACAAGTATTTATTATCCAAACTATATCAAGAGCTTAACCAAATAGTTTGTTTATATATCTCAAATACAAGAAGTCTTATGGTGGGCTAGATTAGAAATAATATGGTAGCCCTGCATCATAGAGTCAAGTGCCTTCTTTTTTTCTTTTTTCCACCATATTTAGTATAGAAGTCTTGATGACTATGACCAAATACTCATGCCCCAAGATGATGTCAATCCCACCTCCTCCTTCACATTTGTGTTTCAAGTAATAAGAAGAAAATAAAAGAAGATTCATGTTCTGGTTTGATTGTGTCCCCTAGAGTTAATGCACTAAAAATGATTTCCCAGTGCAACAGTGTTGGAAGGTGCAGCCTAACAAGACATGACTAGGTCATCAGTGTTCTGCCCTTATCAGTATACTCAGATAGTTACTGCAAGAGTTGTGTGGTTCTTGACAGTTTGTCATCAATGTGACTGTGGCTCGCTCTTGTTCTCTCACTCTTACCCTTCCTTGTCCTTCTACTTTTTGCCATGCAATGAAATAGCAGGAAGGCAATTGCCAGAGGCCAGTGCCATGCACTTGGACTTCCCAGTCTTTAGAATCATCAGAAACAAATTTATTTTCTTTATAAATTACCAAGTCTACAGTATTCTGTTATATAACACAAATTGAACTAAGACAGGGGATCAGTGTGCTTCTGCTTCTATTTCTGGGGAAATAAATATTCTTTGTAACTAAACTAAGCAGCAAATGATTTCACGAATGGAATTTGTAAGTCTATCAGGAAATAAAGTTTGAGTCAACTGATCTGCAGTTTCTGCCATACCATACAGTTATTTTTTCTAACACTGGACTGCCCAGTTTCTCTTCTGGCTAACTTTACAACATAGTATGTTCTTTTTAAAATTTAGTATAATTAGATATGCTGGCACATAATTTCTCAGATAGTTGCATGAAATCACTTCTAGGAAAAGGACAACCAAGAGTCTGAATTCACTATTGAAAACTTGATTGGCACTGTAGCTGATCTATTTGTTGCTGGAACAGAGACAACAAGCACCACTCTGAGATATGGACTCCTGCTCCTGCTGAAGCACCCAGAGGTCACAGGTAGGACCACAGATGATGAACAAAGTGAATTTCAGAACAATGCTGAGAAGATGGTGCCAGTGTCCTCCGTTCTGTTTCCCTTAGAAAAGCTTCATTCTTTAAATTTCTGTGTCATCAGCTGTAATCTGTCTAAATTTGATGACATCATTAAAAAGGACATCTTTGCACAATGGAGGAGGATGACCAAGATCAGTAAAAACAGTATGGCAGCAGCAAAATAAATAAAGCCCTGATTAAGTGTCTGGATTTCAGTAGAGGTAATTTGTGGTAGGGAGAGCCAACATAATTTGGCCTGGTATTGAATGTTGGTTTTATTATGAAAGTCCACTTTGAACAGTAGATACATTCTTGAAGATATCTTTTCTCATTTTGAAAATTCCGTGCTCTAATGCTGGGGTAAGGAGATAAAAACAATCTTTATTGAAGCATAAGTGGAAATTCTAGAATTGTCTTGAGGCATCCTGAGATAAATTCCAGTTTGGGAAGTAATCTAAAAGTCAGACTCCTAAGAAAGGTGTTTTCATTTAAGCAGAGGCCGTACCTAAAGGAATTTTATTATTCTAGAAGTGTGTTTCATACAACTGCTGTGAAAGAGGGGTTAATAATTGCATCTTTCCAATACAACTTTTCTTTAGAATTTACAATTTACCTTTAAAGTAAATTCTACATTTCCTTAGAATTTACCTTTAAATACTTCCTGTTTTGCAGCAGATAGCATCCCTTTTCCCCCATGTCAGGATCCCACTGAAATTTCAATAACTAAATTATAAATTAAAATTAGCCTGCTGAAGTAAAAAGAGAGGAGAATAGAAAACAGCCAATAAGTCTTTGTCAAATTTCTAAAATACAGAGAGACAATGGAGAATTGACAATTGATACAGCATAGAGGATGAAGTTGTAACCTAAGTGTCAGCAGAGGAAGATTTATCAAGAGGAAAAGCTAATATGTGTCACTATGATTCCTATAAGGTTATTTGGGGACATCAAGCGCCAAAGAAGGTAGAGAATGGGGCTGAAAAGGGAGGCTCTCCCATGTTTTCTCCATAGCTTCTTTTATCAGGTACCTGATTTTTTCCCACTGGAAAAGCGAGGCACACTCTCCAGCGAAACTGAGGCTAAGAAGCCCTGTACTTGGGAATAATTTACAGGGCCAGAAAAGAGTGAGCTGCGAAGCCAGAAAAAAAGGTTTGGGAAAGATGTACTCCTCAGATTCAAAGACTCAGCATTTTTCTCCATCTTGCTTTCTGACATTCAGTAGTCAGCAAGATATTCTCCAGAGAAGAAACAAGTCTAGAGAAAAGACCCCCATATTTTGCCACGTTAAGTTACAAGTGTTCAGCAGAGTAAATGAAGTTAAAACATGCACCACAGGACACAGGGTCATAGAATTTTGGAGCACCAGAAGTAAAGGGAAGATCTTTCAGAGACATATTTTAGGTCATGTATAAAATATCAGCATTCAGACAGCATCAGAATTCTCAAGCATAGTATCTTGTGTATTAATAGAAAAAAAAATAGACCTGTATGCTTGCTACAAATTTCATGTTCTGTACTAACTTTCTCCAATACTGGAGGTTGTGCTCCATCTCATTTCTGAAACCAAGTCAGTAGAAATCACAGGTGCCAGGAATCAGGAGACCTCATGTAAGAGAATGAGAGTATCAGAGAGACTGCTGGGCACCAGTCCCAGAAAACAACCACTTCAGAAAAGACCAGGTGGATAACACATGTAGAAGAGATGTCAAGAAACAAAGAGATGTGATTGATAGTCTGAGATTTCCATATAATTGGGAAATTATTACTGGGAGTTGCAAACATGTACCTGAGCGTGTGCAAATAGTCTAGCTTGAAGCATATAAAATTGTGATTTAACTAAAGAGCCAATGAAGAATGTGTATGTATGAATAGATGGGTGTGTGTGTGAGTGTGTGTGTGTGTCAGAATGATGTAAATAATGAATAGTGATATAACCTGGAATTGCGGTCTAAATATATTCTGATAAGTAGGAGCATTGTGTGTGTGTGTGTGTGTGTGTGTGTGTGTGTGTATGTATGTATACATATCACTTTGTGGGTGTGTGTCTATATATGGAATAGAGATGAAGATTGAAATTCTCATCTCCCATACCAGAAAATCATTAAATATTGTCTAAAAATTGTTAAGTAAAAAATATAAAGAGATAGTGATTATTTAGAAATATGAATATACATTTCAGAAGAAGCTGCTAGCATGTTCAAAGTGGCCACAATTGGGAACTGGAAGAGCGAAGAGAGTACCATTGCTAATTGCACTTCCCCACACACACACACATGAACGCGCAAAAAACACAAACACAAATATATTTATAAAACCATTACAATTTAACAGTATACCTCATGTATTATTTTGATAATACATATACTATTTGATTCTTGTTTTTCTGTTTACAAGCACTGTAATTTCTTGACTTATTGTGTTCTGTTTATCTTTTAAATAATTTATTACTTACATCTGTATTAGTTGTTATGTGTGTTAATTTATAGAAATGTACTTGTGTGCTGTAATTACTAGTTTGTAGGAGAATGACATGTATCTATGTTATGGCAATTCTCTTTATACAGCTGGTTGTACTTCTGGACATGTAACTCATATTTGTAATGTTGTTGGGATTTTTATGTGAAGTTTAATGTGGCCATGAATTGCTATGATAAATGTTCTATGTATCTCCGTTTCCATCAGTTCTTCCTTGTGTCTTGTCAGCTAAAGTCCAGGAAGAGATTGATCATGTAATTGGCAGACACAGGAGCCCCTGCATGCAGGATAAGAGCCACATGCCTTATACAGATGCTGTAGTGCACGAGATCCAGAGATACATTGACCTTGTCCCCACCAGTGTGCCCCATGCAGTGACCACTGACATTAAGTTCAGAAATTACCTCATCCCCAAGGTAAGCTTGTTTCTCTTACACTATATTTCTGTGCTTCTGAAATTTCCAAAGTACAAGTTTGACTCCAACCCTCTAAAAACACAAGATGAGAGGAGTCCAATTCTCATATATGTAGGAGCTTGATGGACTTTCTGCTATTTTGTTGGGGCTATAAAGATTTATAAAGCTCTTTTCTTTTTTTTTCTTTTTTTATTGCATTTTAGGTTTGGGGGTACATGTGAGGAACATGGAAGATTGTTGCATAGGTACAAACATGGCAGTGTGATTTGCTGCCTTCCTCCCCTTCACCTATATCTGGCATTTCTCCCCATGCTATCTCTCCCCAACTCCCCACCTATAATAGGTCTCCTTAATAGGCTACTCTTAGGTGTTTACATTTTCAAATAATTGTTGAAAATAATCAGCGTGCCAATTTCCCAAAACACTCTTCTGAGATTTTTGTCAAACAGACACTCAATGTATAGTTCAATCTGGAAAGACTTAGCATGTTCATGCATTGAATTTTTAAATTCATGAATATGGTTATGCTCACAACTTACTGAGCTTTATTCTGTTTTCTCAGTAATGTTTTAGTTTCAGTACAGTGGCTTACAACTCTATCACTATGTTTTTCCTAGATAATTAATATTTTATTGTTATAAATTTTTATTTATTTGTAACTGGTATATGTAATTGTATTTAATTTTACTATTCTGATGACCTTATATCTAACAACTTTCCTAAATTTACTGATCATTGCTAACAATTTACCTGTGGATATGCTTGGAATTTCTATGTACATTATCTTGCTATCTAGGTTAATATGTATTTTATTTCTTATTTTCTAATTATTTTGTCCTTAATTTATCTTTATTGCATTACTGCACTGGCTAGCCTTTCCAGAATAGCACTGAACAGAATTGATGATAGAAGGCATCATTTTATTTCATTTCTGATCTGCTGGAGGGTAGAGTATAAGAACATTAATATTTTACTACTTAGAATGATGCTTTATTTTAGTAGATACTCTTTATCAGAAATCTTTAAAATGTTAGTAGATGTTCTTTATCAGATTAGGAAAATTTTCCCTCTTCTCTTATTTTTATATAAATTTTTGTCATGAATATGTGTGCAATTTTATCAAATTGATTCTCTGCCTCTGTCTGATTGCATATGCTGGCCTCACATCCCTCACTAAATATATATAAGTATACAGAAAAAGCTGTATTTGCTCTGTTACTTATTGTTTAGGACTTCTGTATTTATATTTCATAAGATATTTTGTCTGCAACTTTTCTTCTTCAAAAATTTCTTGTCAGAGTTATGATAACAAGATAATGCTGGCTGCATAAAACTAGGTGAGAAATGTTCCTAATGTGGGTCTGTTTTTATTGCTTTCCCTTTCTTTCACCTTTCTTCTTGTGACCACTTAGTTGTATTCTTGAAATGCCTAAAAGCCTATGGCTTGGTACCAGATATAATATATGAAAAAATGCAGAATTTGAGAGAATGGATTCAATTCCTCTCTCATAGGCAGTAATAATGACAACACCTCCTGTCCTGAATCAGAATTGAACATGATGTGAACACAGTCAAATATTGACTGTAGGTATGGACTTGCCTCTCTGAGGTTCTTCCATTACTGGGACCAATTTTTGCCTTTGTAATCTGGAGACCAATTTTAGTCTTTGCAGCTTTACAATACTTTCTATCATATGGTTTCTGTATTCATCCAGATGTTTTAATTGCTGTGCTATAAGCCACACAATTTCACTTATTATTATGCAATTTAAAATAATAGAAGTTATGTTTTCATGAAGAAAAGCAATGAGATTGATAAGGTTTTAATTACTGTCATCCTCTGGAGAAGACAGAATTGATAACTTATAAAGATGCAAGGGGGTTTGCCCTAATTATCACTGATTTTCTACAAGAGTTAGGACTTCAATCTACACTGTTTTTACCAAAGCACACAACCAGGAGAGGCTTGCCTTTCTCAATACTGGAATCTATCTACACCTCCATACTGCAGTATGTATGCCCCAAAAGAAAGATTTTCCTTGTACACAATACTCAGTAGTTATTGTTCAAATAATAATACAGCCTAATTTAAATTTTTCCAATTTCTGAGAAGACTTTTATGGCTTTTTTCTTCTGCAGTTTACTATCCAGGCAAGGAACAAGCATATAATTTATTTGTCTTGACCTTTTCACCTCCTATAATCACGGAAAGTTCCTTTCCTTGTTTGTTTCTTTTCTATCAGTTGATCTTTTTGAGACCAGCAGTCATTTAAAATGTTCCTCAGACTGGTTTTGTGTGACTGTTTTCTAGAGGAAGATTCCAGCTACAATTTTGGCAAACAAACTACATAGGTGCTTTAAATATCCCACTGAATCACACTGATAAGGGACGAGCATAAAATGTCACATGTGCCATTATTGCTCATGCTAAGTTCCTCACATAATTTGGTGGTATCCTCCAGATCTCACCATTGCAGAGGTTCTGCTTTTTTTTTTTTTTAATTGAGACAGAGTCTCACTCTATCACCAGTCTGGAGTGCAGTGGCGTGATCTCAGTTCACTGCAACCTCCACCTCCCAGGTTCAAGCAATTCTCCTGCCTCAGTCTACTGAGTAACTGGGACTACAGGCATGCACCACCACACCCAGCTAATTTTTGTATTCTTAGTAGAGACAGGATTTCACCATGTTGGCCAGGATGGTCTCACTCTCTTGACTTCATGATCCTCCTGCCTCAGCCTCCTAAAGTGCTGGGATTACAGGAGTGAGCCACTGTGCCCGACCTGATCTGCTTTTTATATGCAACTAGTAAAAATCTATGGTGGTACATTAAGGCTATGTGTAACTCCTGCTTCCAGAATCACATACCTATTGGCTCTAGCTTTAATTGATGATCCTTGCCTGACCTGATGATCCTGACTTGAATTGTGACAAAGTGATAATTTTTCTAATTTCATCATCTTTTCAGTGTTTTAAACTAACATTAATCTATAGATGGCAATAATAAACACTCCATAGTTTTTACTTGTTATTGCACTTGTGATTATCATCTCAGAAGACATCATATTTAGATAGATTAGATGTTTATTTACAAAAGTTTCATGAACAGATACTCTGAACATTTCAGATATCAACAGAGACTTCCATTTTAAATCATAATCTACATAATCTAAATACAAAATGTGTGAAATTTGAAGAGACGATATAGAGCGGCAACTGGCGATAGACAAGGGCATCCAAACTTTATCAGGAGAACACATTCAGAAGGTTACACACAAGTATCCAAGATGTAAAACTTCAAATGTGATTGGAAAGCTCTTCAGCAAGATTCCGTCACTGGCCTTAAACTCATCCATGTAAATTACTGTGTCTGGCTGGACTTGAGTTTCCTCATCTAAAGATCAATGATATGGGGCTACGTGATGTCCACTACTTCTTCTCACTTCCAGACTTCTTTATAAATCAGATTATCTGTTTTGTTCCTTCCAGGGCACAGCCATAATGCCATCACTGAGTTCCGTGCTGCACAGTGACAAAGAATTTCCCAATCCAAATATCTTTGACCCTGGCCACTTTCTTGATAAAAATGGCAACTTTAAGAAAAGTGACTACTTCATGCCTTTCTCAGCAGGTAATAGAAACTTATCTCCATCTGTATTTAAGGGAAAGAGATAACTCTTGGGAATCAGTTGCAATTTACATGGCACCTCCTCTGGGGCTGGTAGAATTGCTCTTTGTTCATGATCAAGAGCACCACTCCCAATACCCATGTGCTCCACCCTCACAATACACCCTCATTATTGGGCCAGATAGTGGGACTTTGAGGAGTTAATTCCATTGTTCCTAACTGAGAAAACTAACGTCTAGGTTGGTTGAACTCTGCTGTTAGATACATCACTAAGGTACCCAAGAGCTCCTCCTAGAAGGCAAACTTCATCTGATCTTTCCTTACCTGCCATGAGAAATGTATCTAAGTCCACAACTGCATTGAGTGTTTTCTGCATGGTGTTCCTCACCACACAGGCTGAGCTCTAGGGGCACAAGTTTCAACGACAACAGAATGAATTCTTAAGAGGCTCACTCCTGAGTTAGGGAAGAAGAGTAAACAGGTCATTGTAATTTGGTGAGACCGGGACTTTGAGAGACAAAACCACAGGGCATAGAGGGGGAACCTGCATGCTTCTTGCTCTCTCATACAACACAGTGAGACATAAAATGGAGTAAGTAACTCAGAGAATGTTTGATCTCCTTCAAAGGAGGTGATAAAATCTAAGGGAAGGCTGGGCATTTTGAAGGAGTTAATGAATGACAAGCAGAACATTAACTTTAGATCAAGATGTCAGACATTTGCTAAATAATCATGGGGTTCAGGAAACATTGGCAAGGTAGGAGATTACTTTATGGTGATTCCAGAGCACTCTGTCTTCCTCCATTCATGATCATATATCCTGTATTCTTGATTTTCACACCTGCATTTTGTGTGCTGAGTCTCTGGCCATGGAATCTCCTTCCTTTATTCTTTGACCTTTTATGTCTACTCTATATTTGGCACTGTAGATACCAAGATGACAAGGACAGAGATCTTCATTCAAGAATTTACTTTTTCTTTTCTTTTTTGAGGTGGAATCTTGCTTTGTTGCCTAGGCTGGAGTGCAGTGGCATGATCTCAGCTCACTGCAACCTCTGCCTCCTGGGTTGAAGCAATTTTTCTGTCAAAGCCTCCCAAGTAGCTGAGACTACAGGTGCCCACCCACCACACCACACCCAGCTAATTTTTGCATTTTTAGTGGAGACAGGGTTTCACCATATTGGCCAGGCTGGTCTCAAACTAATGGACTCAAGTGATCTACCCGCCACCTTGGCCTCTCAAAGTACAGGCGTGAGCCACCATGTCCACCCAAGAATTCACATTTTAGCACAACAGATAAATAAATACAGAATTATGATTCCAGATGATCCATGCTTTAAGGAAAGCATGAGTATGATGTTGAGGAAAACCAGAAAGGGTATGATTTTTATTACTTGAGGGACTTATAAATAGTGTGAAGGTGAAATAAAATTGGACCTATGTCCTGAATGTAGCCTAATAAAGGTGTATCTTAGCCAAAACGAACAACAGGATATGAAACTTGAAACTTCATGGTGTGTTCAACGTTGATAAAGAGTGTGTATGGCTAGAGCTGAGAACAGATTATGTGAAAAGTGAAAGGAAAGATCACAGAATATCAGGCTTGAAACAGGAAACAGAGATATACTTGTATTTATATAATGACAGATGGAAACTCAAAATGGCAAAAGACCTGTTTTAATGTGGAAATAACTAATGAAGTGATTGTTATGAGTATTTGTTAAATATCTGTTGAATGAAAGATGCCTATTGAGATTAGATGTTAGACAGATAGCAAGTTTGTCCATTTTTGTACATTTATTTGTCCCACCATCCATTATTCCATCCACCATTTCATCCCTCTATTCATCCGTGTGTTCATTCATCTACCCAGTCATTCATCAATTTACTGCATTTTCTGTTTGTGCAAGTCACAACAGTCACAGTTAAATACAAGGAGTAACTATTTTCTCTCTTTGTTATCTTCAGGGAAACGAATTTGTGCAGGAGAGGGACTCGCCCGCATGGAGATATTTTTATTCCTAACCACAATTTTACAGAACTTTAATCTGAAATCTGTTGGTGATATAAAGAACCTAAATACTACTGCAGTTAGCACAGGGATAGTTTCTTTGCCACCCTCGTACCAGATCTGCCTCATTCCTGTCTGAAGAATGCTAGGTCATCTTGTTGCAGATCTGCTGTCACCTGTAACTCTTTTTTATCAAGGACATTCCCACTATTATGTCTTCTCTAACCTCTCATCACATCTTCTGATTCCCTCAATATCCCCATGAGCATTCAACCTCCATTAAGGAGAGTTGTTCAGGTAATTGCACAAATATATTTGCAATTATTCATACTCTAATACTTGTATTGACTGCCATATATGCTAATACTTTTCTAGTACTGATGTTTTAATATGTTATCACTGTAAAACACAGAAAAGTGATTAATTATTGATAATTTAGATACATTTCTTTTGTGAATGTGCTAAATAAAATGTTATTAATTGTTATTAATCAGTTCTCAGACTTTCCTTCCTTTGTGCATATTGTAAGAAAGAAATTTAAAAAAAGAAAATTCCAGGAGTCCCGGCTTGTCGTCATAATGATAAGCGGAGAATGACAAAGGGGAAGATGGTGAGGAAGGTCTATGGATGTTTGACACCTAGAGTTGAAGGTTTGGCTTTATAAGAGAGAAAATCTCTCCAAGGGAAGAAACAACCTTAAGGGACATATTGAGTTCAGTTGTGTATTTGTGGAGATAATGTGAGGCTAATTACTTCAGGGCCATACAATTAAATTACCATTACATTTATGTGTAAAACAAGAAATAGAAATTGGAAAAATAACGTAATCTGTTGAGACTTTCCAAGGATTTTGTTCTTGTTTGGAGAGAGAAGAATAAAACTCAGAACATAAGATTAGCCATATGAAAGTATATATTCATACTTGATTCTAAGTTAAAACATAAAGTGAAAAAGAATTCAGATTTTTGTTTAGTGTTCACAACAATACCAAAATAGAGGGATGAATTCAGACACTCAATCTCCATTCCTACTTCACTGATCCACTCATCTTTAACCCCATAGGCCAAAAAAATGGAGCGGGGACATGAGGGCACTCAAGCACAAAGTTTCTGTAAACAGTTAGAACAAGCACAGGTTCCATGGTCCGCTTATCAGATAAAGTTACTGAAGTCAGTCTCTTGTCCAATGAAAGCTGTAGCCATGGCTTGTGGAACAGTGGGTAAAGGTCAGCATCTGATAGTAGAGGGGCTGCAAATTGTTTTAGTATTGCTGATCTTGAGACCAGTGCTTGTATAGCTGCTAGAGAAAAAGAAAAACCTTGTGCCAGTTAGAACATAGTTTATTCTTTAAGTGTAGGGGTGCATGAACTAACTCTTGCCTGCCATGCCTGTTTATAAGTTGATATCTTATGGCCACAAAGAGTTGACCCATCAGTCTTATGATCTCTATTTTAACACTAATGCTGATGAGTTGTTTTGTGTATACCACAAAAGGGAGAGGGTCTAAAGAGGCATGTCTGATCTCCCATCACACATGGGCGGGAGCACAGTTTTTAAGGTTTTCTGTGGTACCCTTGTCCAAGGGGGCTTAGAATTTATTTTTAGTCCAAAGTAATTACAGAATTTCAAAGAATCCACCCACAGAATACATCTAAACAGTTGAGAAGAATATAGTTATAATGGAGAAGACAGCCACACACTATCTGAACCTAGTAACCAAATGACATCATTCTAATGAAGCAGATTGAAATTGCCTGTCACCCAAAAATGAGAAAAAAAGCATCATCTTTGATAGTCCTGGCAAAGATGTATCTGCTGAATTTAGTCATTAGAAAACATCCTACAGGCCTAAATTGAGGAATATTTTATAAATATTCAGTCTGTACTCTCAAAAGACTGGCAATGTCTTGGAAGTCAAGTAATAACTAAAGAACTGCTCCACACTGAAGCTGATGGAAGAGACGTGACAGCTAGTTTTGGCATGTGGTGCTGGATTCTGAACTGAATTACAAGTGGGACAAAAAGTATATCTTTGGGACTTTTTGGTAAAACACCAACAGGAACAAGAATTAGAAAGTTACGATGCATTAACATTAATTTTCTGATCCTGTTGATTTTACTATATTTAGATAAGAGAATCACCTTGTTATTAGTAAATACATACTAAAATACTTCAGGTTTCTGGTATCAGGTCAGTATTTACTTTCACCCAGGAAGCACAAGGGGTCAGGGAATTCCCTTCCCTAGCCAAGGGAAGCCGTGAGGAACTATGCCTGAGGAATGGCACACTCCAGCCCAGATACTATGCTTTTCCCATGGTCTTTGAAACCCACAGACCAGAATATTTCCTCAGGTGCCTATGCTACCAGGTCCCCGGCTTTCAAGAACAAAACCGGGCAGACACTGAGCTAGCTACAGTAGGTTTTTTTTCCATATCCCAGTGTCACCTGGAATGCAAGCAAGATAGAACTCTTCACTCCCCTGAAAAGGAGGTTGAAGCCAGGGAGCAAAGTGGTCTAGCTCATTGAATGCCACCCCCACAGAGCCCGGAAAGCTAAGATCCACTGGCTTGAAATTCTTGCTGCCAGCACAGCAGTCTGAAGTTGACCTAAGATGCTCAAACTTGGTGTAGGGAGGGGCATCCACCATTACTGAGGCTTGAGCAGGCAGTTTTCTCCTAACAGTGTAAACAAAGCCACAAGGAAGTTCACACTGGGCAGGAGCCCATTGGAGCTTGGCAAAACCACTGTAGCCAGACTGCTTCTCTAGATTCCTCCTCTCTGGGCAGGGCACCAGCAGCCCCAGTCAGTTGTTTATAGATAAAACTCCCATCTCCCTGGGACAGAGCACCTGGGGGAAGGGGCAGCTGTGGGAGCAGCTTCAGCAGACTTAAATGTTCCTCTCTTCTGGCTGTGAAGAGAGCAGCAAATCTCCCAGAACAGCACTCAAGCTCTGCTAAGGGACAGACTGCCTCCTCAATTGGGTCCCTGACACCCATGCCTCCTGACAAGGAGACACCTCCCAGCAGAGATCAACAGACATCTCATACAGGAGAGCTTCAGGTGACAACTTACAGGTGCCCCTCTGAAACAAAACTTCTAGAGAAAGAAAGAGACAACAATCTTTGCTGTTCTGCAGCCATCACTGGTGATACGTAGGCAAACGAGATCTGGAGTGGACCTCCAGCAAACCCCAGCAGATCTGCAGCACAGGTTCCTGATTGTTAGAAGGAAAACTAACAAACTGTTAGAAGGAAGGGTTGAAAGCAATAGTTTCAACATCAGCAAAAAGGACATCCACACGCAGTTGCATTGTTAGAAGCTGGGAAGGGGGTGTTTGTCTAAGCAACAGGGCAGAAAAAATGTAGATTAGAATATGGGCTCAATAGAGTGTGGCAGATACAGGTTGCAATCACAGTGAAAGAATAAAAAAGAAACAAATGATCTGGAATGAATGGTGTCTGTGTTTGGAGCAGGATTCATTCTGCCTCCTGATGTGTCTTTTTACCATTCCCCACTTAATGTCTGGGGCCTGTTTTGTCCATGGAAGCCACATTATCCAGGGCTGCAGTTCCTGTAGGGCCTTTCCTAGGCCAGCTCTAGTTTTTTCTTTCTTTCCATCCTTTGATGAGGATGTAGTCTCCAGGCATGAGTTTTTTCTTCTTTCTATCCTTTGATGAGGATGTAGTCTCCAAGTTGGTGCCAGTATACTGAAAATTCCAGGGGCGGTACATGTGCTAAGAGACCTTTAGTAATCTTTGTTAAAGAGCAGGTTAGTGCTTTAAGAAGAAACTGTTGTGCTTTATTTTAATGTCTTGTTTACAGAAAAACTGGATGATACTTCTTTAACTTTAGCCAATATGTTTACACACAGAATTTATTTTTCAATAAAAATTTAAAACTTGCTAAGACCTTCAAAACAAAAATTACATATATCCTGCATAAATTCCTTTTTGTAACATTTTTCATGACTTTCAGAAAATCTTTGACATGCCTTAACTTTCTGACTTTTATAACCTTCCTTACTAAAGGTGCATTCTATATCTATAACTTTCTTAATATTTCTTTCTATTCTTCCTACTTTATTTCTCTTCATTGTCTTACATTTTGTGTATCTCTCTGACCTCTGTCTCTTCTAGTGTCTCTCTTACTCATTCTTTCCCTCCATTTCTCTCTCCAATCTTTCTGTTTCTGTTTGATCTTGGAAGCTAAGCCAGGTTGGATTCTAGTCACATCATGGTAAGGTTTGATACATCATGTTGGAATCCAAAGAGGACCTGAGGGAGTGTGAACACAAGCATATCCTCTTCCCCACATTAACAATTTATTTGGATGACACCATTCATTACTGTTTACATCTTTCTGTAAAACTGCAGATTTTATGTCTTGAGAGGTTTCAGCAAGTGCTTTCTACAGCTGATTGAAATGTATCATTTAAATTTTAAAAATTAAGGCTAAATAAGGTTTGTGTTAATAGTGTTGCAGAGTTCTTACTCATACTCCCCCTTCTTTTTTGTTTCTTAAGCATATTTTTTAGGGTGGAGTGGGCACATTCTACTATGGCCTGTCCCTAGGGGTTACATGGGATGCTTGTGGAATGATGATGTTCCACATGTGACAAAATTGGTGAAATTGTGAGCTGGCATGAGCTGGACCATTCTCAGTTTTAATATTTGTGGGCTTCCCTATAAATGCAAAAGTTAAGAGAAGATGTTTAATAATATATCAGGTGGAATCTCCAGGACAACCATGAGTGCTAATTAAATGTGAACTGGTATTAATGGATACATGTACATATCTTAGTTTTCCAAATTCAGGAATGTCTGTAACATCTGTTTGCCATAACCAATTAGGTTCTAGTCCTCTAGGGTTAACATCTTGTGAGCTGACAATCTGGGCATTGCAGGATAAATTGTTTAGCTAGTGTCTGGGTAAGTTAAAATTGTTTAGTTAAGTTTCTTTAATTTTGGTGGAAAACCTGATGTAATTGAGCAAGCAGTGATGTCATAACCTGAAGGTCTGCTTGTTCATTGCCATAAGCCAGTGGACCAGGCAGTGAGCTGTGGACTCCAATATGAGTGATAAAAATAGGATATGTACATTGATCTAGGAATTGCTGATGTTGAAGAAAAACTGCATACAGGGTGAGCTCAAGAGTAAACTTTATGAGGACAGTTGCAAGATTCTGCAATAAATGAAAGGCATAAGTAGAGTCACTAACAATGTTAATGGGCTGAGTGGAAAAAGTTTCCAAAGCCAATATCAGAGCCTGCATCTCAGCTCTTTGAGTACTAGTAAATCCAGATTGAATTAATGAATTATATGGTCTCCACCAGATCACAGCTTTTCCTTTTTTACCTGAACCATCAGTAAAGAGTGTTAAAGCATTAGTTATTGGAGAGTGAACTATTTTTGTAGGTAAGATCACAGAAGTACAAGATAAGAACTGAAGGAGTTTATCACCTGGTAGGACATGCCCTATTTG